GCGTTTGCCTCTGCTTCCCCAAGGCTTCATTCAACTTGATAAGTTCTTAGATGAATCGGAAACAACTCGTAGTCCTACTCTTCTCGTCAGCATACCATTTACAGTTTGTCAAAGGTAAGTTAAGTCAAGAGCCAAGTCAGGATAGTGCACCTAAGACACTTGAAGAATCTTTTCCATTGTAATTGTTTGATAAAGAAATGTAACTATGTTCCATCTCACATCAAATACTTATAGCAATAAATGCTTGAAAAGACAATAACAAAATTAAATTAAAATAATCTCATTCTAGTTCTTCAAAAGAAATTTCTTCAACTCTTGCAAGTTGTTTGGAGAAAACATCCGTCAAACTAATGATGCATTTAAATCTAAAAATTAACAAATTGATATAACTTATTAGATAGTAAAAATAATGTAAAATAAAAAATTTCAAAACTCTAATTAGTGGCTAAAGATATTAGCATACAAAATTAGTGACAAGAGATATTAGCTATAATAACTTCTAAATGGTCAAGGAGTTGAGGACCTACCAGCTAAATCTAATATACAAGGATCAAAATTAATGTAGTCACCGTATATTTAAGAAAATGCATGTAATGAACAATGTGTTGCTGTGGATCATATTGTTGAAAGTTTTCAACATTTTCTCTTTCTTACTATCCTTTTATTATTATGAAGGTCAAGACCATAAGCCCCCACTACCAAGTACTTTTGCTATTTTACAAACAAGAAGGACTCTACAGAAGGTACTTGCCCCTTTAAAAACGTAAAGAAGCTCAGGTTATCCCCATACCTTTAAAAAAATAATAATAATAATAAATAAATAAAATAAAAAAAGAAAAGAATTTGCAATGGATGACATAATCAACTAGATATAGGAAAGCAACGACTAAAAATTAAATCGGTCAACAATGAAAGTACAAGAAAATCACAGGCTTGCCAATTGCCAGTGTGAAGAGGACGTACATTGCACCACAGAAACATTTGAACTAGGCAAAACCATGGTGCCATAAACATTAACCACTTAGACTGACAAATTAAAATATATGAAAGATATATCTTCATTCAATGTGTGCGATGCAATTCAAGCTCTTTTGTACGTTAATATGATACAATATGATTGTTCTCTATGCTATTAAAGAACAATGACTTTATCGAGCAAAGAAGCTCAATTTTTCAATTAAGACAAGATCTTTAATGCATCTTAGAACAGTAAAGCCTGCGATAAAGTCAAATAAAATTATTTAAAATTTTTCAAATATAAAAATCAGAATAGTTAACCATGAACATACTTGACAAGGTCAACACAAAAACAAATCCAAGATCATATCCAGAATAGGGTTCTTAACTACAACATGTGCATTTTATTTTTAACTATACTTCATTAGCATGAGACTTAATAGTTAAACTATTAGTTCTACCGATAAAAATAAACTTAATACAACAACCTTGTTTAGATTATCCCAACTAATAAGCATAACTCGTTTTAATTTGTAAAATTCACCAAACGACTATGATATTTATGGAGCTGAAGCAAACTCTCAATCCTGCGTGTCAATCCTAACCAACTACAGTAGCATAAAATCAATCAATATAACAATGACTAAAAAATTCATAATGCCAGGAAATAAAATGATAGATGCTAAAATCTCGTGGTTGAAGGGATATATGGATATTTCATAGGAGTTCATTGTTTTCAAACTAATGGATATTTCATAGGAGTCCGAGCACAAAAATACATGATGGATAGAAATTTTTTTATATAAACCTGGCTAATGTACAATAAATATAATTCCATCCACCACAATAAGAAATTATCCATCAACCCAACACATAAGATAGATGGCTTCAATGTACAAATGTCATCGCACTTACTAGCAATGTCTGCTCCAACTCATTAGTGTAAACGTTAGAAGCTGCACGCAGAAGATAATCAGGAGGAGAAAGTCCAAGCATAAGAATATTTGTCCTCAAATCAGCGACTTTTCCTTTTGATTTCTTCTCCTGAAAAATCACAAAATTTGTTGAAACGAAACTTGAAATATTGTATTGGAATCGACTAGTATCAATAATCAAGTTAGTGGACTCACTACATAGGTTAGATTCTCGTTCCCCTTGGCAATGGTGCGAGAATGAAAATGAAAAAAGTGAGACTTTGATACTAATCTTTAATATCAAAATATAAAATATGGTAAATAGTAAATAAAAACCAAAACTCTACATACCTTATATACAGCAATACGCTTCAGTTCTTCCTCTGCCATGTCTAATACTTCAATGATGGAGTCAGTTACATTCATTGGCAAACCCACATTGGGTTGTAGTGGGTCAAGTGACCCACCAACTTCAGATTTTTTTTTTTTTTTTAAGGTGGTGGTGATGGTTGTTTTAATAGGCTCCAAAATTACGAAGAAAGAAGAGTATCCTTCCACTACTAAACAACAATTGAATTGATTGTTTTCATTAGTAAATCTGTGACTATTGATAAACGAATTATTTTTTCACTCGAATTGATTGTTTTAATTGGTTATTTGTATCAAGTATAAAAAAGTAATTTAAACGTAAGTCTGCGTTTAAAGTATTGAAAATAATGTAACTATGGAAAGTTAGAACATATAGAGAACAATTGTAATTAGATATCGAATATATTAAATTTTTAGTAACTTTTTTATAAGTTTGATTGTGCCCTCTAAATATCTGCGTCTGCCCTTACATTTACAAGTTCATTCACTTCCTAACCTAATTTCCTTGAATTTTAAAATCTAACCATTCAATTGATTAATTAAGCAACGAACAAATAGATCACAAACAAAAATCAAATTATAGAATACGGAAGAGAAAAAAATAGCCCGAAAAATGAGTAGCCAATTTCTTCCTCATTGTGTATCAAATTTAGATATCCACACAAATTTCCTTTGTCGAAAACGAGAAAATTTGAAG